AACCTTGTAACCTGTAGTGCACCTTCTTGACACCAAATACTGCTGGTTTTAACATAAGTAAACATTTAAGGTTTCTGAATAATCTCCCGAAGCATCGGTGCGTGACTTCAGTTCCGTTTGTTTTAACTTATAGGCATCCAACCATCAACATTCGCCACCACTTCATTCTGTTCAGCTGTAACACAAACAGAGTCCCTAAATCAGCCATTAGTAAACAGATATGTTTAGCGTTCTTTCCTCTAAAGTAATCTCTTCAACTCTGAATAATAAATAAACTGATCGTCCGCGCAATTTTTATCACATCAAGTTTTATATTTGTATTTCGCTGTCAGTACCTACACGTAGGTAAGGTACCGATTAGAATGGTACTGGCGCACACTGACTTACGTTTGACTGGTCTACCGTTAGACAATAATAATATATCCAATATCTTACAAATAAAACATTTGATTATGTTGCAAGCGCACGAAACCCAAGAAGTGAGTGTATCAACCGGCTAAAATTGGTTCCCAATATAAAATCTGTTTGATAGTTCTAACCGTCTTCCTTGACAATCAGACATTTAACAAATTAACAAAATCACCACTTTCTTAATGACGAAGGTGACTGCTGAATGGACGCTATAAAATCTACCCACTATAGCCCTCACGTATCGCCCACATATTGGTAGATAAAATCTAACTCAATTATTAGGCCCTTCAAAAGGCCGGTCTCTAATCCATGTAAGAAAAAAGACTGTTAAAATTGGACCTAGTGGTGACCCCGTATAGAATTCCTTGCGGAATAAAGTGTTCATTCACCACGCATCTTTGGAGATCTTCCCAGAAAGATGCTAAAATTTCGATTTATTAACATATGAAACCCGATGTTTACATTAACAGTACATTGGTGAATCGAGATGATAAGCATACGGTTATCATAAACTTACCAATCACATTCAAATATAATCCTGTCAATAAACTGAAAAGTATCTTTTAAATTGTGCTTTACAACCTCTTTAGGCGATGGTTGCAACTTGTACTAACCATGCCGTGAAATAGTAATCCGTTTTTATGTACCTTCGTTAAACCTTTCAACCACGGTGTTACTGTACCGGTGGGTGTGAACGTTTTCACACATCGTATGTGAAATGAAGCTTCGGCGTTCCAAATTTTTTCATCCCGATAAATGCCTTTCAGTCTTTTCTGTTATATCAGTCCTAGTTAGTATCTCTGTAAAGGATTGGATGCGTTGCTATTATGTAACTCCCAATCAACCCTACTTAATTCAATGTGCTCTAGTACCTGCTTTCTTAATACTTAGCAGTTAGGTAAGGTACTGATAACGAAACCCAAATCAAAAGGGCTGTTTTTTCAGAAATATATTCGAAGGAGCCATATATTTAAATAGAATAAATGTGACAGCAATTACTAGGAAAACACTTTATCCAACTAATTTGGTTACAGCTGAGCTAGGGACTCTGAGGACGTGCGTGGTGACCAGTAAAAAGGGAGCGCAAAATGATGTTGAAGCCCGTTAGTTTAAAGAAAACTTGAAATATCTTAAGCATACGCAGGCAAGCCAGAAGTTTCTTTAGTTAATTCAATTTGATCTATTTGTTTTAGCCCTAGTTGCATTTTGGTGCCAGGAAGCTGAACTGCAGCTTCAGAATTTTATTATAACCACTAAGAAGGCTGTCTATTTAATCCAAGTATTCTACTTTGTTCATAATTATCATATTGAGCCCTGACTATCAATAAATTCTCGTTCATTCAAAGTTTACGTAAGGCTACTGTACGTCTTTTAGTCAAGATGCTAACACCAGCTCAAATAAGTGATATTTAACATCCAGTTCTAAAAAAGATATAGCAAAGGGGGAAAAAGCCACGTATTTCTGAACGTCAGCTAGTAATGTTATTATTGTTATCAGTAAAATTTATTGGTCCTGCCTCAGTATTTTCAGAACAGGCTAATCGAAATTATTGCATAATGACGGAATCGTAGTATATTCTGCGGCTATGATGCAGAACGATTTACTTACTCACGAATTCGGATAGTCAGTTGGAAGGCAGTTTCAGTTAACTGCATTGTGGTATGTAAAACATGTAAAAATGTATATAATGCCGAGAAAATATCGATTAATCATAGCCAAAGCAAATCAAGTCTTATTGGTTAGTAAACTCAAGCCCGTTTACTAATGATGTGTGGTTTAAGTTCCATGATACACTTGAAGCGATTACATTTGATTTATTCTGATAAACGATTTTTTATAAAACCAACTGACTGTCCTTCAAGAATTGGTACACAGGTTAAGCAACCCATTACACGCTAGGAGAGGCCACAAAAAATGTTCATTTCAACTGGTCCTGAACAATTTAGACATTAGTATTTCGATTAAAAATCGCTGTTAGCCGTTGATCATAAAAGCTGGACAAACATAGGAAATGAAACTGGTTACAACCTCTCAGAGATGTTCCAAGGGATATTCCTCAAATATTAAGCGAAGAAGAGATAAGAATGGTACTGTTTAAACTACATCTTACTGAGCATTCAATAACTGAGGCTGCAGATAATGCAACTAGGATTGTAACCTTGGCCTAGGGTGTTAACTAAACAAGGTATCAATGCTTACCAGAAAGGAATTTTTCCTACAACTACTTTCGAACCTGAACTATGAAAAGCTTTTACTCACGCATACCATCAGGACTGCAAAAACCTTTACAGAACCGTAAACAATACTTTTTAGTATATCACTAAATCAGTTAAAATTCACAATAGCGATATCATTATAATCCTAGTCTTTAAAACCACGCACCGCGTAGTATACCAACATAATCCTCTATAATGGGACGTTTCAATACGTTTCGTCGATTACTCCCAAACAACATAGATCCCTGGTGCACTTCAAACATTAGGAATTGTGCTACAAATCCATTCCGCTGTTCCTTATCACTGAAAACCGAAAGCATTGTGTTTGCCAGGTTCTTCACAAATAAAGATCGACCAAGAGTGAACTAAAAAGTTGAAGGTGATACGATTAACCCGATAGTCGGAGGATGTTTCCTTCAAAATTTCACCACAAAGTGTAATTGTTGTCAGCTTCACAGTTATCCTGATCCCAGAGTAGAGTAAGTACCTTCATAAATTTAGGTGTTGAGACCAGCGTTTCTCTGCAGGTGCGAAGAAAAACGCTATGACATCCAATTTAAAGGGAGGTGAAAAGCTGCTTGCCACAATTGCTAAAAATCGTGAAAGGTTGACCATAACACTGTTAGTTACGGTGAGTCTCAGTGAATATAGGGTTTACAACCACCATGTTAAGTAACTTACACAAAAAAGGATGGAGCGCATCTTTTAGATACGGGCTTAAGTCCTACGATATATTAGTGGATAGTGCTGAAACGACAGCCAGTCACCATAAAAGACAGCAGACTCCACTGAAGTATAGAGAATTGACAACGGCTTGGTGAATGGTCAGAAGACCTCCGCAATGTTTTGATGCATCCTTCTTTTCACATTTATAAGGCCACTTCGAAAATAAGAAAATGCCACTGATTGATGCACAACCAAGCGAACTTATAAGTTAAAGGTTTCGATTGTAAAACTCGACGATGCCTCTGAATCTTTTTTAACCGGAGGTTTTCCAATTACGACCCAAAAGAAGCAATTTTAACAAAAGTATGGAAGTTCATGCACTCTGCATTACAGAAAATAATGTCAGTAAGTAATTTCATGAGAAACCAATAACTGGAAATAAATCTTCTGTGATAAGTTGTGAGATAGTTCAACGTGGGCACTAAAAGGTTCCTGATAGTCCGGAATAACCACCATCTTTTATATCATAAGCAATCAAGATGTCCACATACTCTCTGACATCGTAACTCATTCTATGACATCCTCATATTACTGCAGCTAGACGATGTTTAAAGTATTACGTATATTCGTCATTTTATAGATGACCTTAATGATCCTGGGCAGCACAGTCACTGTGGGATTAAACGCTTCAAAACCAGTTGAGCACTTCGTCCTATCGGTAACAGCCGGTATCAGCAGATGACAGATGATGAAGTAAAGAATTTCGAAATTTCATGAACTCAATCTGACCAAAAATTAGGTAAATGTAGATTACAAATAGATAATCGGTGTTTAGTATAATTTCATGTTAGTTTTTTCGTCAATATAAACATTATATTACTTACAAACCCTCAGTATTATAACCGCTGTAATTTATAACTAAGTGGACAAAAAATTGTAAGATAAAATGAAAGATATCGTACAACATACGGACATGAACAAATAACTGACTGTTCTTGAATAAGATGGAACACGAGTCCTGGATTCTACTTTTAGCCACTACATCAGTATTTCCAATTTGAAACAATGATGTAGTATCGAGGCGTCCACACAATAAGTCTTTAATATGCCACTGATACTATAGCTTCAGTGGACGACACAGACTGGAGATGCCCAACCAATCATAAACACAATTACGCCTCATTGGAATGGGATGCGAGAATTACCAGCAGTATATCTCTCCTGTATTGAACGATGGCGAAAAACAGATTTTGAATTCCAAAGATGCTTAATCATTATGCCAATGTGTCTTCTGTTTTTCTTTCCTACTGACAACTTGGATATGAGGGAAGATTAAAATTTCCTTAGACATGCTAATTCTGTAACGAATCTTGTTAACTGGGCTGTTAAACGTAGTAAGCACAAGTTCGTCATGAAAAAGTACCAAAACTATCATTTGACTTTTTTCATAGTGAAACTATTGATATCAACTTACTTTATAAAGATAGTAGTACTTAGAAAAACAAGTCGATACTGTGCAAGACAAGAGCAGGAAAAGACTGCCAGCACCTTGTCGACCTAATTATGGATGTTTTTATTCCCACATTAGATGGCCAACATCTAGTTAACTTTAGAGTAAGAAGATAAATGACTGTGTTTAATCTGAAAAGGTTATCTTTCAACACAAAAAATGAGTCAATTCAATTTGAAAAATATAGCAACTAATGTCACAGGTGTTGAATAGGAACGACATGTAATCTGAAAGGGAAGTAGATACATTCAAAAAATTAGTAAAAAATTTACAATCAAAAATATCCCCTATTCGGTTTGAAAATTTCCTCATCTTTTTGATCGACGAAAAAGACACAATTCAGAACAATGGTGAAAGACATAATGAACTGGTATTATAGTAAATATAAGATTTCTTCCTACCTAATTTGCACGCGCAATAAGTGCTCCAGCCACTTTAGTGAATGAAGGTAAACTCACATCATGCGCAGATTTGGCTTCCTTGCCTGATATTTTAAATCTAAAGCTGAATATCGCTGAAAGTATGATTTCGTCAAGCGTAAGGAAGACTATGATCAAATATTGGTTAGTCTGTCATACTTTTAACTTTTAGCAGCTACATCTTAGGCTGACAGTCGGATAGAGAAAACCGTGGTGTGACATAAACTCCTTGTAATTTGCATTCAGATAATTACTCAGTGTCAATCTACGTTGACACGCTTTAAGTGAGCCTTTTGTACCTCAGCCAAAGCCTTTTCACTGATCTACTCCCTAGCGATCGTACAGATCCCGTGATGAAAAGAGTGGTCAAGGCATTTAACCGAACCACAGCCATCCGTAAGCCAGGGGTTGATGAGAATCAATCCGTTATTATTATCATACCATTTAGTTAGCCAATATCAAAATGGAGTTTAGAATTACTGCATAAACGTCCCAGTTGTCACAACCTATATCAGCATATTAAAAGAGACCGCTCTAAGATGAATGATAAAGAAACAAGGAAGAAAGGAATCAAAAATGGCTGGGATTAGTATAAAGATTGGAAGTCCGAAATATTAAGTTCAGTATCAAGACTAAGATGAAGATGAAGTTTGGATCCATTTGCACCACTGATATCGATTCTCAATTATATCACCTAGAATCTCCAGCCACCAGTACTGGTTGCCACGCAAACCCCAAATCTAAAAATTTACATTTCCTTATGCGGCTCAGACCAGTAGTCAAAGAATTCATGGACTGATCCCATGTTTTAGTTTTTTTTTCTATAAACATGAAATACATCAGTTAACATGGAGCAACTGAGTAGATGGTAACTAGGCATGCGGAATCTATGTTTCAGCCGTCTTAGCCGATGAAGATGCACTACGTCAAACGACCAACCCCTTCCGTTTAGAAGCCTATGCCTGACTTCTGTGTTACTAACTCATTGACACCACAACACACGGTCTATGCCACGAAGATAACGTTAGTAGAACACCTGAAGTCCTCTCATGTTTTCTACGTTTACTGGCCATATTTCATAGCCATATGTCCAAAGAAGACGAACTCCATCGCAGTACACTTGGTCCTGAATAGACGACAGTCAGATGTCACGGTGGGATCGCAAATGGAAAAAGTTAGCGAAGGCCAACAGAGCTTTTTGTATCCATGCAGAGATTCCGTCGAACAATGACTCACCCTCTATTTGACAGACACGTAAAGCATATCAAAACGTTGTGAAGTTTGATCATAGTATTCAGAAAACTCTCTGTTCTGTCAGCGTCATCGCCTAACATGACAATGTTGTCTAGGTACTCTGCATTATCAGATGCCCTCTGGATAATAAACGAATCCCTGACTTAATAAAGGTAAACAGAGACATCTGAACCAGTATATCCTACAGTAAGTTAAATAAGAATGATGATATTAGGCATATTTAACAGACACTAGCTGCTGTCACTTCAGATGATAACTCTTCGTAAGACTTTAAACATCTACGAGAGTAGTGGGTTTTGGTTAGCAGTATAAACTCTCCCAGTACTCTCTTCATAGCAGGAGAATGCTACTGTAACAAATAGTAAGACTGAGAGACAGAACAGAATGTTTATTATGACATATTGTACAGTAGTGATAAAACATTGTACATTTTCCTTTAAAGTAGTCATTTGCACAATGTGTTTCATTTCCTCTCCCGCTATCTCAACTTGCTCTTAATACCCTTAAATTGTCTCTTGAGTTCCTCTGGGCAGAATGTTTAGCCGTCACTGGTAATTGCCTATGATTTCTGCCGACCTCTCAACATAAACTATTTATATCTATTCTTATCAGTAACATATCCACTACACTACAACACAGGCCGATTGGCAGATAGAAATTTTGTGTTCAGTTCACGAGGTATGTTATTTATACCCTATTGCTTATCATATACGTGTTTTATTAATTAATCAGGAGTGCTATACAGTACAATAAGACCGTCTAGATCTTTTAAAGAGGCCTAAAGTCTCTGAATTCTTTTACAACCAGTCATTATATCAAGGACTGAAAGACTTGACCTATGAACCCTCATATAGAAATGAAAGCTATTTAAATATTTGAGGTTTGTTGTTCCTGATCTCCAGTAATACATGAAATAGCCATAAGCAGTAGGATCTGAGACAACTAAACTAATTTCCCTCGCACTATTACAAGAAGGCTTCAATGATGTCTTGTAAACTGGGAATGCCGATGGGTTAGGGTATTTTGAAGAAACTATTTACTCTTCATACCTACGTACTACATCAGTTCCTATAACCAAGAATTCTCCATAATAACCGTTAAAGAATTCCTGAGGCAACCTACCAGATCCACAGGCTTTGCCTCTTTTCAATTTCAAAAAAAATATGTACGCTGAAAGAAAGGGAATTCCGTGACTGAAATATCGTTAGCAAACACAAACTTATTGTGATACGTTTTATTCAACAAACCAGAGATTTCATACAACAAGGAAATTCGAAAAAGTAAAAGGCTGAGTTGAAATTTCTAGAGATTTGTGTAAGTAATATCGCTGTGAAGAAGATATACAAATAACACCGATTCTTTATATCCACGTTGTAGCATACTTCAGTAACATCATTAGAAATAATAAAATACAGTAAATACATGTGTTTTCAAGTAGTGAGTTTTGATATATCACATAAATTTTAACATCAACAGCTTACCCTAAACTAACATTCCCAGTTGGTTTCAACAGTGATATAGAAAGCACATTATTCACCTTGTCTCCTCGAATTATAGACATGTTAATGCAACCCTAAATGATGTTAACAATATGAAAAAAAGAACCAACAAATGAATGAAGGTTTAATTGTTATTGGGTACACAAATAAATAGATGCAGGTGATCTGTTCAACGTTACACTAGCTCAGCTGCATACTTTATTATCAAGGTTTACACCATTTTAAACAGCATAATCAGTGCTAAGTTCGCTATTTTTATGTTACAAGCAACAAAGAAGTCAGTTAATCTAGTAAGAGGACCATTTCAGTTACATCAAATACAAGCTACAACACTATCAAAACGATATCAGTCTTAACACGCAATTCCAACACGGAGAGAATATTTATTTGGGTCTGCATGTCTCAATGACTGAATGAGTTACACTGGTTAAAATACTTGATCCTCGAGGTCCTACGAAGGATAAGCCACTCATAGCATATATTTCTGAACCAAATGGTCACCTCAGTGACGGAAAGTGAAATTAAGGAAAGACAAGCAGAATAAGATGTGACAAGGTGTACAATATTTATTCAACAATTCCTTAAAGAAATTAGAAAACTCTAACAGTTAGTCAGATTAAACTGAATTAGAATTCATTTGCATGAACATGTACATAGCTAATCGGAAAATCAAACGGGTGATAAACGCACTTTCAGAAAAGTATAAAGAAACCAGTCACTTGTAAATATACAAATAAAGTAGCGTTTTGCGAACATCTTATCCTTCTGATATGCCTTCTATATTTTTACCAGTTTCTTCTGTAAGTGAAATGAGTATAGAAGGTTATTTTATAGGTGTTCATATATATATATATATATACCAGTGTTCAGGTCAACACTTCGACCGTGACATTACTTGCTAAAATTCCTGAATGCTAATGCTAATTCCTCAATACTAATGTGTACAACACATTTAGTCTTTAAAATTAGACAAATATGGAATACGAATAGCTAAAGCAGTTGAGTTCAATGATTAACTGGGACAATATTACAATTTTGATAGGCAAATTCTTTGAGCAAAATAACTCATTTATTTCATACAATGCCAGCAGATATCAGGGCTATCATAAGAAAAAGTTGAAATCCTAAATATAGTTCGATTTAACAATGATGAGTGCCAAGTATACTGTCCGAACCGTCATCTTTTACTCATATTTTTAGCAAAACGGATGAAAAGTACTTAGGACTGTCAACATAAGAGATATACGGAAAGCTACCAATGAACATATCTTCCATTTGTGAATGCTATTTAATATAATACCTTAGGTTTCATAAAATTTCCCCAACTGGAGGATGAAACAATAAATAATACGTGTAAGCTACGTGGAAAAATATCTGTTTGACACCCTATAACAATAGTCAACTAAAGATAAGAGATTTAAATTTACGTAATTACTCACCCTAATATAAAAGATAACCATAAATTTCCTTGTTCCAAGTTTAATCATTGCAGCAGAACAAATAGATTTCTGATAAACTCAATGAACTTACAATGAACCAACTCAAATATAGGTTTATCAAATATCAAAAACTAGATAGGTTGAAAATATTTTCTAGGTGATAGAAAACGACGCAATGGCCAGTGAATACGTTTTCAGCAAATTACTGATCACTGAATATGGATGTACGATTCAAAAAAGTAAAAACTAGCGGTGAGAGTATTGTGAGAATGTTATCAACTACAGTATACTTAAGAATAACAATTCAAAAAGCCTTTAAAACTTACACCAGAAGGTGTATTGCGGAAGACCGTAGATATATCCTGTAGAGAAGTAAAGTTTTTAGCAGTTACCGAACCAAACTGAAGCACCTGATCTCCAACCTTTAAATCCTATCGAAAATAAATCAAAAGTATTACCATTTTAGTACTACAAAGATTTAGAATATTACATACATACCTGGCTTCAACCAATGAAAGTGATGTAGGCGGGAAGTGAATAAGAATATTAGAGCTAAATAATCAGCATCGCCAGTAGAAGCGTGAGTACCTAAAGCGGCTGTTTTTTGTTCGCACAACTAGTTTGTGTAGATTGCCAGATCAGTCTTAGTATAAACAGACAATTATTGAAATTGTTTCAGAAAACTACTTGGGTTTCAATGAAAATCCACAGCAGCGACTGCCAAAAAGTAAAGCTTAAATCTCCACCGTCTCAATGACCAATTTGTTATTTTATTTTTTCAAAACTAGATTTTATATAGCGTAATTTTAACAAGTTAACTCAAAACCATTGGAAAAATTAACAACTTCAAAGCGTATATATGAACACTGACTGAAAGAATTACTATAAAACTAAGCAAAAAGAGCATTCAGTTAAGAAGTACACAGTGCAGTGAATTGTTAATAATTACGCATTTTCAAATAAAGACAGCTGGACAGAAAAGCAAGTGGTCAAACTGAATATGAAAGTGGATTGTTAGTTAAATTCCTGGAGATAAATATAACAAAGTAAAGTGACTCTAAAGACCACCGCAGCAACGATTGAAATAAACGATTGGATTTTTTCATCTCAGCTGTAAAAGTGGTTTTTTTTTCATAAAATAAAAGGATAGTTGATTATCTCAATAGTTACTATAGTGACTTTCAAAGTCACTCAACAAAGTATCAAACTGAAGTTTGAAGCTATGGCACTAGGTTAAAGTCTCAATGGAAACAACATCACCCACTGGGGTGCAAGTAAACGAAGCTGAAGAATTTCAAATAGGATGGAAAGTTCATCTTGAGTTCTACTGCCAGTCACCATCAAGCAGTGAATCAAGCTGGTTTTTTAGAGGTCACTGAAGTGAATTTAGTTGAGAAATAAAAGTTTTTCAATATCATGCATTAACCATGTATATGCAAAAAAGTGCTTACCGCTTGTTCTGCTACTGAATTAGGTGATATCTGGTCTATTCGAAGAAACGGAATTTTCACAATTTCAGACATGTCATCAACCTGTTGATTTTCATTTGATTTTAATTCATTAGGATTAAAATTATTTTCAGATGGATTTTGACGAGCATATTCATGTATATCATACAGCACTGTTTCTAATTCAAGCATTATTTGTCGGTGATCAGTATTTAAACCTGAAAAAATATCATCTCTTATATTAAAAATCTAGCAGGTATTCATTCATTCATGAGATAAACAATAAAAATTTGGTACACATCTATAAAACACCTCAGTGTGTTTAATGTTCATGCAACAGCCTGAAAAAAGATTTCTCGTAATTTCAATACTTCACGGTAATTTTTATCAAGTATTAAAGCATAGAAAACTAATGAGTGCTAGACAGCCGAGTGATTCTTATGAGTCTAATTGTCAAATCACATCCACAAACAATAATTAGGTGAAAATTCAAGACCTCAACTTTATGAGGTGAGTGAGTTTAAGTTCAACCATTGAGGTTCAAATTTTGATGCTGGGTGATAAAGGTGAAATAAAAATCTGAACCGTAGCGGGGTTCGAGCCAGCGATCACCGGGTTTCTCAACCGGTGCTCTATCAACTGAGCTACGAGGTCTGACTGCTGAACAGATTTTTATTTCACTGTAATCACCAAGAGTTTTGTCCGACTACCATGTGAATTCGTGACGCGTTACTATTGCTTGATAGTACTTACACTGGGTTTCCAGTCAGAAGTTTTCATCTCAATCCAAATCTACTTGAATTAGAGAGGGGGAACATCATATTCATTGTCACTTTGACTGAGATAGCCGTGGTTCATACTTTATAACTTCTTTCGATCTGTAATTCAGTTTAAATGTCTTCTCATGCTGTCACTTATAGTACCTGTTATCAACGAATCTCGATTAGTGTCAATTGGTGATGGAACCTACAATGAAGTTAACTAATCCTTGACAAAACACTTTATTCTTGTCGATCTAAAATCCTTGATGTGTAGTTAACGGTAAATGCAGAAAAAATAATTGCTACAAGAATTTTCCTCCAGTAACTAGAAAACATCCAGACACAAAATATGGACAATCATAGAGAAGGATTTTTTTTCTCATTTTCGGGTATACCTCAATGAATTAGTGACTTCAACAAAAATATATAAACGCACACACATGTGATAGACATAGAAATCGCTTATTTGCCTGTTACTAAGCATCAGGTCAATATAATAGAAAATCCAAAGCACTAATCAATCAAATCAACTTCAACATCTTACACTCTTCTCAGAGCACTGTAACCAAAGGACTCGGATACAACTTTCATACTGAGACGATCCAACCTCGCCTGGTTAACTAGTTCACTAGTTACTAACTGATCCTAAATCCGAATGAAGAGGGAAGGTTGGGAATAGGGCTAGCAATCCTACCCGGAAAACCAATCCAATCGCTAAAGAAAATTCAAAGCACAAAGAAAATATAAAAAATAAAAATGAACTTATTCCTCACTGGAATCGGAGAGACGAAATGACGCCAGTTGGTGAAAGACTTCGGCAAGCCAATTGGCCGATGTGTCTTCTCTCCCTCGATGAAAGCGAAAGTAAACGTGGGGACATGGAATGTCCAAACCATGTATAAACCTAGCAAGGCTGCCCAGATTGCAGAAGAGATGAGAAAGTATAGCATAAAAGTGCCAGGCTGGGAATCTGCAGACGGAATCGAAGTGGATTCTCCAAACTGTCAACTGGAGAGTCAATAATCTACAACGACACCGTCACCCAGACGACAACCAGGAGCACAATGAGTTTTCGAGCGGCTATCATGATGTCCCCCTCAAAAGAGCATCGAAGGCTCTCAGGCAATGGGAACCAATCTCTTCCAGGATCAGGATCATGAAAGCAAAATCCAACTCGAAATGAAGGAAAGTCACAATTATACAATGCAACACTACGCACCTACAAATAATGCGGATTAAGAGGAGGAATTCTAAAGACAACTGAAATCAGTACTGGACGAGACTCCAGTTAGCGACGTCAAAATTCTAATAGGTGACATGAATGCCAAACTACGAGGAGCGGACAACATAGGAAGAGAACTAACCATGGGTCGAGAAGCACTCGGTGAAATGAACGAGAATGGACAACTGTTTGCAGACCTCTGCACATTTAATGATTTGGTGATTGAAGGCACTGTATACTAGCACAATAATATTCACAAAGCAACATGGACACACTAAAATCAAGTCGACTTCATCTTAATCTCAAGAAAGTGGAGAGGCAGCCAGCCTACCGAACACAAGATCAAGAAGGGGAGCAGATGTAGGTTCAGACCACTCACTATCTAGTGCAAGGGACCTTCTGAATCAAGTTGAAACCCTTCAAATAAGCTGATAATAGCCCACAGTTCAAGTCCAACACCCAGAACAGAAACTGAAGGACAAAACTTCAAAGGACATCTTCACGTCGTCAGTCATCAGGAAAAAACGGGACATAAGGAACATCTCCGAGGAAACCTGTGTAGATGAACACTGGAACTCTTTGAAAGCGATGTGGAAGGAAACCTGCATAACCGTGATAGGAAGGAAGAACAAGCAAGACAAGGAATGGAATGGAGCTCAATGGACACATGGAAGCTGATAGAACAGGGAGAGGATGATGGTGATGGTAAAGCAGAAGATGAACCAGTGTAGTGTAGGGATGAAAAACAAAAAGAGGAACTGAATACAACCTAAAAAACACTACATTGGACAAAGAAGTTAAGAAGAGTGTGTGCAAAGACAAAGGATATTTCTACGACACACTTGCAAGTGAAGTGGAACAGACAGCAGGTAAGTGAGAAAGAGACCTGATAACATCATATCAAATCAACAGGTTACTGTCTGGGAAGAGAGCAACACAGGTGAAACCAATGAGAGGTAGTGAAGGAAACTTAGTTAGCAAAGAGGAGAAACAAAGGAAATGATGAGCTGACCACTTCAAAGAAATCTTGAATCGACCACCACCTACAACTCATTCAGAAATACCACCTACAGCCCAGCCACTGAACTATCAGTAAACACAAGGCCTGCAACAAAAGCAGAAGTGAAGTTCTGAACACCATAAGTCTGCTGAAATCCGGTGAAGCAACGTGACCAGATGGGATCCTGCCAGAAGCACTGGAAACAGATGCAGAGACAACAGCAGACATGCTCACACCACTATTGCAGAAGGTGTGGAAGGAAGGAGAGGTACCTGCTTACTGCTTGGAAGAAGGGTTACCTTGTCAAACTCCCGAAGAACGGAGACCTCAGTGTTTGCAAGAAGTGGCGCGGAATCACGCTCCTGTCCACCCAAGGCAAGCAAAATATTAAGCCGCATCATTCTGGAGAGACTTGAAAACGTGCTGGATTCAAAATTACCACTGGAACAGGTTGGCTGGCTGGTTTCAGGAAGTACAAATCATGTGTGGACCAAATTGCAACGCTGCACTACGCATCATCATAGAACAGAGCACAGAATGCCAGTCAACTCAACTCCACCTCAACTTCATCGACTTTGAAAAGGTCTTCGACAGTGTCAACTGAGAGGAGATTTAGGAACTGCCTTAACACTACGGTTTTAGTGCCACAAACCTTTATCAACCTCATTCAACAACTATATGAAAATGACACATGCCAAGTGATTCATAATGGAAAGCTGAGTGACGCCTTTGAAGTGAAGACAGAGGTAAGACAAGGCTGCTGTCTACTATTATCGGTGATCTTCCTGATTGTGATCGACTGGATCATCCAGCAAACTGTGAGGAGCGAAAAGATGGGTAAACGCTGGATCGTGAAAAGACCCTAGAAGATTTAGATTTCACCGAGGATGATTTATGTCCAATGTCCTGTCGCAAAAATTGGAAGATCTACAGGTGAAAACTAACAAGTTGACAGAAGAAGCAGCGAAGATGGGACTTCAAGTGAATGTAGAGAAGACGGAGGTGATAAAGATACCAAACTAACAACAACAAGCATCCATCACTATGAACGGGAGGAATCTAAAAGAAGCGCCGCTTTCACCTACCTGCCTAGGCGGCATCGTTTCAACTACAGGTGGCACAGACACAGATGAGGATGTCAAAGTGGCGAGGATCGGAAAAGCAAGATAGGCGTTTATTTGTCTGAAACCAGTGTGGAGATCTTCTGCACTCAGCATGTGGAACAATATCTGGATTTTCAACACCAACACCAGTCAAGTCAGGTCAGTGCTTCTGTATGGCTCAGAGACTTGGCCCGTCATGAAAAGCATTTCCAACAAACTACAGACATTCATCAACAACTGCCTACTCTAGCTGGTTACTGAAGATCAGATGGCCAGAAAGAATAAGCAACAAGGAACTCTGGGAACGAACCAACCACGAAGCTATCGCTGAACAAATATGTAGTGGAAGGAAGTGGAGATGGATTGGGCATACACTGAGAAGGCCGACTAGGGACATCACGCGTCAGGCCAGGTACTCGAGTGGAACCCCGATGGGAAGCGACGAGTTGGGTGTCCAAGGCGAGGGTGACTTGGAGATCGTGGGAGGAAGAAATGAAAGCTTGTGGGCAATTGTGGTGCCCGGTTCAAAAGACTGCAGAAAAGAGAGTGAAATGGAGACATGCTACTGAAGTCCTATGTTTCACTAGGAACCCAAGGGACAAATAATAATAACTGAGACGACCCAGTAGTCAAGATTGTTACCTCGGTATCTTAAAAGCTTTATGTTGGATTGCATTTAAGGATTCTTGTCAAACAGCGATTCTATACATTCATTTTCTTCTCAACTCGGTTTCAAAATCTACTCTTCATAGGATTCTGCTCATTTTATTTCTCATACCAAAAGTACCCTGAGACCATTAGGTCAGTGGTGGTCATTAGGGTTTGCCAATGGTGGTTTCACTGGTAATACCATATCGCAACCTTCACAAGATGTATGGCTGACTATTTATTACAAATATATATACGAGGTTAAAGATTTGAATTGGATAGTATTACGCATTTTGAGTTCTGACAAAGAGTATCTGGGAAAATATTTTAGTTCTTCCGCTACAAATGGTATAGAGAAATTGACATGAACTTAAATCAATGGTAAAAGTAAGAGTCCCGGTGTGTACAGACAACTTAATACACATTAAATATACTACTGAAATATATGAGAATCTCCGACATTTATCATCTTTGAAGGAAATAACACAAATATTAAAAGTGGCAAACAACCTACTCACAACGAATATTATTTCGCGTAATTCGTATCAGAGCTACATCAATATCAGAACGCGGAAAACCTTCATCATCAATTAATGGAGTATCAAGTTCAACATTTCCATTCTGTTAATAAGCAGGTAAACAAAATATTTAGGAAAAATAAAATGCAGTATACATTTAGAAAACTTTACGCGAAGTTTCAAGTAAGAATAACATAATCATCCTGCTCTTAAAACAAACATATAACTTTTACCTTATTGTCTTGATGTTTAACTCAGTGTGTTTAGCTTACTTCTCAGTTATGAGTAACCACCACTCATGATTGAGACGATAGTCAGATCCAAGACGCTCCGGCAAAAACGGTTCTATTTTACGCATAGACGACCTTATATTTGTGTTCGATCATCCTTTCTTCAAAAGATTCAAATGAATTTCGGAATACAGTGAGAACAATTATATACTACAGCAATGACTTCATGCGCATGTTTGAGATCATCATTCCCATAGCATCGGAGTGAGTGGCTTGATAATGTTACAAATGTCATTGAAGTGACTTCTACGCTGTTTACCCGCTTTAAGACTGACTGAAAGCAGCTGTTGGAAAGATATGGTTTATAAGTTTTAAAAATATATTCTCAACTAGTAGGTCACAGATCTGAACCTCACCTCAAGAACCGAGATTTTAAAAGCTAGATAGTTTCACCTATCATCACACACTAGGGAGGGCCGGTTGCTTAGTGTGAAAACTGTGCCTGTTTCTAGAGCTAAAACAACATACAGATAACATTGGTTGGAAGAAGCTAACAAATAGTCGGTACATGACAAAGTCCCAAAGGATGAAGCATGATGTTATTAGATTCGTGTCTGTTGGTTTATCACAATACCTGTATACGGTTCGAATGATAACGCGATTAAACGACACAAGATAGGTTCTAAAATGGCTCAGAATCGAAACTGCTGGCGGTCGATCATGCTTTACTTTTTTTAATACTTCTACTATTGGCAAATAATAAAATCTGTTTGAGTACGTTACCTGTCTTCCCTTTCATCAATAATTTGTTATTCTGTATTTTCCTTCCGTTTTATGCTCCGGGATATTTTTATTTTATCTCGTAAATTGCACCTGTTATCCTTATGTTGTACAAAGATAGGATTTAAAAAAATAAGCGTATCGAAGGGGATAGTATTTATTTCACACTCCACCACACAAACAAACTATCTGACATTAGGCTTGTATAAAAAAAGAGATATTACTAATCATCAATTTCCCACAACTTTTGTTTAACCACTTACAGACGCGTCAAACCAAGCTCTAGAACCCAGCTGATGAATGGATGTTGAGTACATCATGACCTTAATGTTGGAGACATTTATTTAGTCTGTATAATCAAAAACAAACAGGAAAATTGGCTTAGGAAATGACACAGTTGTGTATCTCCAGTCTCTTTGCACTCATGAAGTGGAAGGAAGTCAACAAGAGGAAAATCAAGGAAATGAAAAGAATGACACCAATGATGATGATAATAATAGTGAACTAAAAAGAAAAAAACGGGATAACTAGACAAAGAAAGAAATAGGATAACAGATTTTACGACTGAAAGCAAGATAGAGTAAACATGTATATCTGCCACACCAACTAATTTTGAGTCATATAACTTATATCCCCAATAAGCTTGACTTAAGGCAATACAGTCAACTAATTGATCTGTTCCTCATTCAGTTAAAAAACGACACAGTTTCACGAAAGCTAAGAGTGGTCAGAGTAAAGTGTGATACCAGTACATAAAGTTCTTGATTTGAGCTACGTAGGCAGATGTAGTCCGCCTGAATCGAGTCCCCTAGACCACAGGAATCAATGGTTGAAGACTCTTGGTGATACGACTTGAAATCGTATTCAGTGGTCCGCAAGTATACATAGTTTATCATTTTCGAAATCCTGAACAAATTTACTGGCTTAAGGTAAGAATAGAGCTTGATACGGTATAATTTCATGTCAATTTGTTTACTGGATATTTTAAATAGTGATATAGTATTATTTACTCGATAAACAATAGTACTAATAACAAATAGTAAGTAGATAATAGTGATTTATTGTGACGTATCCAGCGAACAAATTGCTACAGAATTTTACTGTTTTTTTAATCTTCCTTCTCTGGTATGCTTTTCTTAACTTTTATGTCATTCTTTTTCGATTCAGCTTTCTCTTCCACGCTGTTGTGAAGTGAGAAAGCGTGAACTGATGTACTTTTGTCGATGTGTCTGTTGATCCCTAGAAAACTACATTTGTTCAGACCACTAGTAATGAAGCAAGCATACTTGAAGGTTCATTAGTACTTCTCCGAGAACATGTCGCCACAAGTTTCACTACCTACACATTTTATGAACAGTAACAAGCCAGGTTTGAAACATTTTGATACGTGTGGATGTCATATCATGTAGCAAATGATCTCTCATCGAGCGAAAAATTGTTTTCCAATAAAGCAGTACTTACTTGTTGAAGTACTTCACTGAGTTCAGCTATTCTTTTTTCAATCCTATTTTTCTCATTTACTAAAGCATCATATTTGGACTTGAGGATGTCATACTTCCCTGAATTTGTATCTGTCGCCTGAAAAAGTGAAGGAAACGGAATAATAAGTACAGTCTTTAGAAATCAAAGCCTCTCCGGCAAAATCTCATGATTTAAAAGTACTGTTTGAAATGTATAGATCAAGAAAAGATTTTCAGTAATTATTAGTATTACTTGTCCCTTGGGTTCCTAGTGAAACATAGGACTTCAGTAGCATGTCTCCATTTCACTCTCTTTTCTGCAGTCTTTTGAACCGGGCACCACAATTGCCCACAAGCTTTCATTTCTTCCTCCCACGATCTCCAAGTCACCCTCGCCTTGGACACCCAACTCGTCGCTTCCCATCGGGGTTCCACTCGAGTACCTGGCCTGACGCGTGATGTCCCTAGTCGGCCTTCTCAGTGTATGCCCAATCCATCTCCACTTCTTTCCACTACATATTTGTTCAGCGATAGCTTCGTGGTTGGTTCGTTCCCAGAGTTCCTTGTTGCTTATTCTTTCTGGCCATCTGATCTTCAGTAACCAGCTAGAGTAGGCAGTTGTTGATGAATGTCTGCAGTTTGTTAGAAATGCCTTTCTTAACGCGCCAAATTTCTGAACCATATAGGAGCACTGACGTGACGTTGGTGTTGAAAATCCAGATCTCGTTCCACATGCTGAGTGCAGAAGACCTCCACACTGACTTCAGATTAGTGAAAGCCTGTTTTGGTTTCCCAATCCTGTCTGCTTGAAATCCTCATCTGTGTCTATGCCACCTGTAGTTGAAACAGTGCTGCCCAGATAGGTGAACGAGACTACTTCCTTTAAGTTTCTCCTGTTGATAGTGATTGGTGTTTGTTGTTGTTGGTGGTGGTGGTGGTGGCGTTGGTGGGGTATCCTCATCACCTCTGTCTTCTCTATATTCACCTGAAGTCCCGTCTTCGCCGCCCCGCCTCTTCTGTCAACTTGTTAGTTTTCGCCTGTAGATCTTCAAGTTTGTGTGACATTGGACACAAGTCATCGCTGGCGAAATCCAAGTCTTCTAGGTTCTTTTCCGTGGTCCAGAGTATCCCCTCTTCTCGCTCCCCACTGTTTGCTGCATGATCCAGTCGACCACAACACAATGAGGAATGTCATGGGTGATAGTAGGTGGCAGCCTTGTTTTACTCCTGTCTTCACTTCAAAAGCATCACTGAGCTTCCCATTGTGAATTGCTTGGCTGGCATGTGGCATCTTCATATAGTTGTTGAATGAGATTGATAAAGGTTTGTGGTATTCCGTAGTGTTGAAGCAGCTGGCTGCCAAATTACCTCTTGGTCGACGCTGTCGAATGCCGGCCTTTTCAAAGTCGATGAAGTTGAGGTGGAGTTGAGTTGACTGGCATTCTGTGCTCTGTTCTATGATGATGCGTAGTGCAGCGTTGCAATTTGGTCCACACATGATTTGTACTTCCTGAAACCAGCCAGCCAGCCAGTCAGCCTGTTCCGGTCGTAGTTTTGAATCCAGTGCATCCTTTAGTCTCTCCAGGATGATGCGGCTTAATATTTTGCTTGCCTTGGGTGGACAGGAGCGTGATTCCGCGCCACTTCTTGCAAACACTGAGGTCTCCGTTCTTCGGGAGTTTGACAAGGTAACCCTTCTTCCAAGCAGTAAGCAGGTACCTCTCCTTCCTTCCACACCTTCTGCAATAGTGGTGTGAGCATGTCCGCTGTTGTCTCTGCATCTGTTTTCAGTGCTTCTGGCAGGATCCCATCTGGTCCTGCTGCTTTCGCGTATTTCAGTAGCTTTATGACGTTCACAACTTCCATTTTTGTTGGGGGATTTGTGTTCACTTGTAGTTCAGCGGCTGTAGGTGGTATTTCTGGATGAAGTGCAGGTAGTGGTGGTGGTCGATTCAAGAGCTTCTTGAAGTGGTCTGTCCATCGTTCCCTTTGTTTCTTTTCTTTGATAATTAAATTTCCGTCATCATCTTTTATTGGTTTCATCTGCGTTGATCTCTTCCCAGATAGTAACCTGGTTGTTTGATACAATGTTGTCAGGTCTCTGTCTCTTCTACCTACAGCCTGTTCTGTTTCACTTGCCAGTGTGTCGTGGAAGTGTCTTTTGTCTTTGCGCACACTCTTCTTCACTTCTTTGTCCAGTGGAGTGTTTTTATGTTGTACTCAGTTCCTCTTGTAGTTGAGCATCCTTGCACTGCACTGGTTTATCTTCTGCTTCACCATCACCATCATCCTCTCCCTGCTCTATCAGCTTCCATGTGTCTGTCGAGATCCATTCCTTATCTCACCTCTTCTTCTTCCTTCCTAATACGGTTATGCAGGTTTCTTTCCATCTAGCTTTCAAAGAGTTCCAGTGTTCATCCACACAGGTTTGTTCAAGGATGTTGCTCGATATCTTCCATTTTGTCTTGATGGCTGGCTGACGTGAAGATGTCCTTTGTAGTTTTGTCCTTCAGTCGCTGTTCTGTTCTGGGTATTGGACTTCAACTGTGGTCTATCACCAACTTCCTAGAATCGAAGGCTTTTAACTTGATTCGGAAGGTTGCTTGCACTAAATAGTGAGTGGTGTGAACCTACATCTGCTCCCCTTCTTGATCTGATCTTGTGTCCAGTAGGCTGGCTGTGTCTCCACTTTCTTCACATTGAGATGAAGTTGATCTGATTTTTAGTGTGTCCTGGTGTCTGGTGAAATCAACTACATGTCGTTTTGTGGATATCCTTGTGCTTGAACACAGTGCCTGGCCTCCAATCACCAAATTGTTGAATGCGCAGAACTCTGCAAATAGTTCTCCATTCTGGTTCATTTCAGCTAGCGCTTCTCGACCCATGGTTAGTTCTCTTCCTGTGTTGTCCGCTCCTCGCAGTTTGGCATTCATGTCGCCCATTAGAATTTTGATATCGCCAACTGATCAGTCACTAATATCAGTATAACACGCTACATAGGGAGATACATACGTGATCCCAATAAGGTTAGTAAGTTACTGCCTTAGGTAATGATAACCAATAGGCCTCATTTTTCTGGAATATAGATATTGCTCGACTAGTAAAAAACAAGACAAGATTGACCTTACTGATGTTTCCCCATCTAGTGCTAATAGCTTTGTCAAAGTAATGGTAAGCTAGAATTTACAACATATAAGCTTGCGTTTGATATCTCAAACAAACTTCTCTATGAATAGTTCTACGCTGTCATGTGGTTGAAAAATATAGTGGATATATGTGATCATAGTCCACATTATATGCGTGATGATTACATCAGTCTGCGGAACTATGTTTAGCGGTTTTTTTCCCCTCATTCCTAGTAAGATAATTTAGATTCCATTTTATGCAAAAAGACTCTAAGACATCTAGTAATCGAAAACAAATATGAAAAAAATGAATATCACCTACCAAGTACTGAAATCTTTTAAAAGCATAAAGAAAAACAAGTGCTAATCAGGGTTGTCCGGTGTTACCATTTGTAAATAACTTTGTTATAGATGCACGGATGAAAGTGAGTCTGCTTACCTGTAAATCTTTACGGATCGCTGCGAAACCATGAAATTCTTCAGTCAGTTTAGCGTACGCTAAAGAGATAACCCTCTCAGGCGGTGTTGAAAATAACAGATCTCCTGAACGCCCTCAGCAAAGATTCGAATCTACCACATGTTACACAACGCTGTAACAATAGTCTGAAATAATAGGCCGATTACTGGTAAAATCTCAGCATAGATACAGAAGGCAGGTTTAGTATCTGCCAATTATGGCCATCTCCATGTCAATGGGTGAATGCAATACATAACAATTCACTCTATCCCACTCTACGCCTATGAAACGACTATTGAAGTTCGACGACATGACAATTTCACATGTTTTGATAATGTGTTGTCGTAGTGTTTAACGTATGAGGCAGGAGCACGGAGTGAACAACAATGAGGTTATGCAGAGATTACCAGATAACAAAGATACTTCAGTAGACTAAAATGTACTGGTTTACATGGGTGCGACGCACGTTGCACATGATGACTAGCTATCTAACTCGAAATGAGACGTTAGCTGAACCAAGGTAAACCTACGAAGGAATTAGGCGTGGTTGGGCTGATAAATGGCATTAATCTGTTAAGTTTACTGCGTTAATTTTGATTCTTACAAGAAAGTGTGAATTGCTTGGATGACATTTTCTAGATGTTGGGAGATCATCATTCATATGCTTAGCAAAAGATCACAGTGAGACAAATGAATTCACTGTTTATCATTCACAGTGTTGTACGTCGGTAATAAACGGTAATTATTTTTTGTTTCACTTCTCAAACCGTCACATTTTTAGTTTAACATTATTCTGTTTGTTCACTTCTTTTCTCTTCGCTGTTGGGAAGTACGGCAACTTGAACTCATGCACTCCAATGCAAAAATCCAGTAGAAAAATAACATACTATTCTTGCAGTAAATGACAAACGAAATAACGATGATTTCATCCCATTTACATGAAAAAGTAACTTATGAGGCAATCTCCAAAAGTGAAATCAAAGAAATAGAGAACTTTCTTAAATAAACATGGCTTTATTTACACTTCTTTCAAATACAACTATATTACCAAGGCTGAATAAAGATATATCAGTTTTTCAGGTTTAGAATGGAGCAATAAAGGTTAAATTGGTTAAAGCATCACATATAGTTTTACGATCAGGAACTTCTGAAAATGTTTCCAATTCACCAGCTAAAGCGATCAATGGGATTAAACATGTTAGAATTCCATCTAGTAGTAAGGATTCAACACCCACTGGGTCTATTGGTCCCTATAAAATAAAGAACGAAAATTATAATGTGAATGCTGTACAATAAAGCCACTCATCTCCAAATGAAGAGAGAAATCCTTCTTCAGATATGCATGTGATAATAGTTGACTAGTATACACTAATTGATTGAATCCCTTCTTACTTTGTTCGAGGAGCAAATGAACATATTTAGTTCATTTATAAGAAATAAATTTATGTGGAGAACTGAACATAAAATTTCCACGACTAATAGAAAGATACTGCGAATCATAAGCAAGCATGCATTCATTCTAGATTTGTACGCTGTGATGACAGACGATGAACTAACCAACCTGGGTCACGGCAAGATTCGAGCCAGCAGCCTCCGAGTTACCGGCCTGACGCTCAACTAACTAAGCTTCAAGATGTAGCTGCTGGTCAGATCTTTAGAGGAAAAAATTATACAAATTTGGAGTAGACGTTCTAGCCAGCAACAGTGACTTGCCTTCGGAACAAGTACTTGTGCAATCATATACCATACTGAAAATATTTTAGAAAATAAGTCATAAAATATCTGTATTCACTTACAAGTAACACTGTATGCAGAGTGAACGGTATCAATGGTTTCATACTGAGCGTTTTGGGCTTATCTTCTAAAACTCAGCTAAATCGGTAACAAGGGTATATTACGAAATGTTTCGAAGAAAAAGGCTCTTGTTTCAATATGCACTGCTAATATGTTACAAATTCCAAGGTCGATTGAAACTTTTTACATTATCAAATTAACAATATCACTTTCGATTACCTCATAATCATTGACATTCTTAGAAAACACTGAGAACCGGTCGCTTAACAATTGAAAATGAGCAGCCAGATCAAGTAGACTGTACGACGTTGTTTGAGTGCGGCCTAATTGGACTTCTAATCGATCACGTTCCTTGATTTTTCGATCTTCTGAGAACACTTCACGTTTTCCATGCTGTTCGATTTGTTTCAAAAGACGTTTTGCCTTGTTTTTCCATTCTCGTTTAACTTTCTCTGGCATTGTCAACCATAAAGCCTTGAATGAACAAAAACAAGAGACTTGTGCAATCCTAGATAAATTAATTTCTCTAAGAAAGTTGTCCTTTCTGATTCAATTGATTTTATAAATAAACCTGTAACAATAGTCAGTTGAATATTTCATTAACCATCTAGATAAAGTTATCCATAGCAATAGAGTGCTGTGAAGCCAATAAATGAATGGAAATGGGTATGACGGGAAAGAATAAACAAGCAGAAATACGACGGTTAATCACTAAAAAAGCAAGACAATGTCCATAACAAAGTGCTAGTGCAGTACTTGCTTCCAAACCTCAAAATTATCAATAAGGATAAGCTCTTTTTACTTGGCAACCACTGAGTAACAGTTTATACCAAAGATCGCGTAATATAGATCATAACAACAGTTGTAGTGTAGATATGCTATAGGAATCAGATATAGAAATGTCATAAGCGAAGGATATTTACCAAAACATTTTTTTTTAAAAATACACCGTTCGCCTCTTCCATATGGTAAATAATTTATCATAATTTAATTTACAAAAAAGATGATAAGTCAAATCAAGCAAAGCTTACGGTCGTTCAACAACCAGAAAAAGTGACCTGATGTTGCGAAATTGAACCTGATAGTTTTCCAATTCATAGTCATTTGATATCCAGATAACACTAGTGATAAGAAATCGGTATTTTATGGCGATAAATTCAATCACTCATGTTTTTAGCAATGCATTTTATTTGTTTACAATTCTAAGTTCAATAAAATGTTTTTTCACGGTTTGGATCGACAGATTTCCACTAAAAGCATGATCATGGAAAGTGGGTAAACCACTTCGGTGAAAATGATATGGATTACAACTGTCCTTGTTTCCCGAAGTCCTAATGAGCAAACTAACTTCGTTTATCACGAACTGTCTCTTAGACATGTTTTACGTGGTACGAAATTTCAGCGGGGACAATCTCCGATTACTCGAACTGTATTCTTTTCTATTCCTTATCAAGTAATGTCCCCAGGTTCACTGTTAAACTCGGTCATCTCGCATCACCAGATTTAAAATATATTCTGTTTACTTGACTTCTTCCTAGAAATCATCTATTCACTCTTCGCCTCTAAAATCAGGATATTGCTTTGTTCTACTGTGAAGATAAAAATCCCATGAACTAGAATGATAATGTTTCCAGAAACATAGTTGTACCCTGCTACATAAATTCCTTTATTACAATGAAAGTGAGTTAATAAAAATTTTCTAATACCTCCATACTTGTTAGCTTTTTTTGAGTTATTATATGCTTGCTGGAATAGATCATGTCACTAACCGACTGATCTCAGTAAAATTCAACAGAGTTCTTTAAAGCCACTGAAGAGATTTGTCTGACCTTCAGCTAGGAGTTTACAAGATTTAATACATTAGTATCAATCATGAGCTGAAGTTCATAGTCTTGAATTCATAGATTTGGCTGTGAAATACGTTATTGAAAACAGAGGATGTCTGTTATCGATTCCAACACGTTCCAATGAATCATCTGTTTGCATAATATAGTTTATTGAGATTCTAAAAATATTTTTGTCTGTAAGTCATCTAATTAATAGTCAATTTATTTAATTATGTCAGAGTGAAGTTCGATCTTGAAGTCTTGTAAGATATTAAAAAGATTTCAAAGGCTACCTAAAACAAATACTATATATGATTGCTCAACAATAAACTTTCATCGCATACGTTTTAATACACTTCCAGAGTGTTTAGAAAATTAAAAAAGATTTCTTTTGAATATTTTTTCCCTGTGTATGCAACAGCTTCTTCAATAGAATCTCATTATGATTTTCTTAACACCCTGGGATTATATTCAAAGCTATTCAAATAATGATTAAATCAAACTCGCTGCTCAAATGGTTCCAGAACATTAGTGACAACAATGAACGTATTTACTAAGACAAGAAAATTTTCAGGTCGTAGAAAATAATTAAGGAAAAGATTTTGGATCAGCAGTTTGCTGAGTAAATATGTTGCATATGCCTCCTAAGAAAAAAACAGTAGACTTTCAGAAAGGAGAATCGATAAATTTTAGATAATATCAAAGTAGGCAAAGTAGGCCACGTATAACAGGAAACCTGCTATCTAAACTTCACAAGTTGTTGGTATAAGTAGATCCATAATAATAAAAAATGTATTTACACAATAAAAGTTCAATTATACATACTACATACATATCCTCTTATTACTGAATTAAATAAATGAAATAAAACACCAAAAATAAAGGAATATAAACACAGTTAACAAACCTGCCATCTACGGTTGGATGACTTCTGATTATCCTTTCCTGAACCAGTTGCACTCAAACCAGTTTGGTTATCATTAGAATCATTTATGTCATCAATCGGTGTAGACCCCGGAAAGGATTCATACTTTTTTTTATTCACATGTACAAAGAGTGAATAACCATTCAGGCGCCTGTAGTGTTTAAATTCCTTGATGTATGGAATGTACAGAAGTTACGGTTATTTAGAATAGAAAGAACGATTAATGTAGTTAGCAATTTTTATCACTTAAAACATGATCATAAATAGAACGGCAGGGTGCACAAGGTTCTAATGATCTTATGATGAATATATACTAAATGTGTGATTCCTCCTCATGCTCATATTTTGGGTTAACAACTATGAGAAAACAAATCACTCCTAGAAGCTTTATTTTGCCTTACGCTGGAGTTCTCCGTTACTGATGTTAAGATATTTCTTGAGAAGGACAAATTTTCTAAATATTGTCTGTGACCAGTCACAACCAAAGCTTTTGTGTACCTCTTTTCTCAACAAAACGCAAAAGCGAACTGATGAGTACCAACTTTTTTTCTCTTCTGTCTCCGGTTAACAACACTAACATTGTCACAGTTTCTTCGCATTCTAGTCAACTTGAATTCTAAGTCAACAGAATACCAGTTCTAGTTTCTAAAGATAAAACTGACAACTACATTTTTGAATATTCAAGATTCGAACCAGAAGTCCAATGTGATACCAAGTTTTATAGGCCAAAACTACGGAATTTTTGGCCACTAATGCATGCTGAGACAGGAATTCAGGACTCAAGAGTGTTTACTTGCTTGATCTCAACTAGCTAGCGCAACAAAACCGCACCCGATCAACTTACAGCTGTTGACAGATAAGACAGACAGCCGGACGTACGGAAAGACGCTTTCTTACTTACTGGCCACGAAACTAACGACGGATGCAGACAGATCATATTCTTATTGAATACTTTTGACATGTGGAAAATTGCTGTTCATGGATTACCTGATTCAAATACGATATGTTCACTGGAGTATGCATACATCTATCTGCATTTGGATGAGTATAAGAAATATGCATCTGGAAGTTTATCTGATGAGTGCCTTAACATCAGAAAATTAAGTTCATATTTCAATTAGGAGAGAACTAGGCATTTACCGAAGTATGATAATCACTTTTATCAGAATGTTAGCTCAGAGTTGAACTTCGACAAAACACTATCAAACCACAGACAGAAGAGAACACTGACACAGACTCGCTAACAGTTACAGAAGAGTAGAATGCTACTTGAGACCTAAAACTAGGTAAAGTATCTGAACCTAGTGATATTCATTCAAGGGTACTTTAAAGATGGGGTCAAAAAGTATAGGTTAAATTGAAACACTAGTCAAAGTGGTACTCTTAGACAAATCCTGATCACTGTCTACCTCAGTTTACAACGAAAAACATCAATCCATTTGTGATGAAGATCATGAAGCGATAAGTTCAAGTAAGTTTTTAAGATCCTTGGGTACATATTTGTAGTTTTTGCTAGGGATGTTAAATCCCAAAAATTAAATTCTTTATGCCTTAAATTTATAATTTTACTTCGCGCATGTTTCACACCTCATGTGTACCGCTCGTTTTTACCACTTTCAACGACGCTATTTCCTATTGTAGATGATATATCCTTGTGGTATATATATACGTAAGGGTAGCATTCCGAACAATAACCATGGGCTTCACTCTCAATGGTCGCCCGGCTCCTCGAAAACAGAAAAGCAGCAAAAATGATCAAGGCTCATTTTTCACTCGAATAAGTAAAAAAAAATTAACGGTTTATATACTTTTGTTGGTGATCATGGGAAGTTATACACGTTTCTAGAGAGTCCTTTAGTCAATGAGCCTCACATTTATGGTTGTGGCTTTTCGCGAACGTCCGACATGCCATGATTAGCTGTGAAAACTTTTCTGGCTTCTTTGAGGAATAAACAGGATATCGTCAGACTCCCTAATAGCATATAAACCAATGAGCTGTATCCCGTTTTTTATACTCTTTCGATTGAAGTAAATTTCTACAGTTCAGTACTGTTTTCTTCCTCGTTAAAATCGAGTAATTTGAGTACTATATTTCGTTCATTAGGTGTTCAAAACAAGCGTTTATGATTCACGGTTTTCTACTCCGTAATTTTATTATCATTCTATTTCTGATGATTCTCCCCTTCTATGCCACTACGAAATATGATAGTATGAAACTGCATTTCTGTGCGAAATTTCACCTTAATGTGTCTGTTTGTAACATGAGTGAAACCATCAGCATATTTAACTAAGCCACTCCCCCTCCCACCTTTATTGATGTAAGATATATTTTCAGCATTCCCAAAATATACCCTTAGAATATTAGAGAACCTCATTTGAGTATCATGTCGACCAAACAAAGTAGTTAGTTGTGATAATAAAAGTTAAACTAATATATGGAACACACCAAACCTTGAAATGCTTAGTATAACCACTACAGAACTTTTTGACTTAACTAATGAAAGTGTACACAGAATTGGTCAAGACTAACCTCAAAATCAATATCGTTTATTCCCGCACTGCTCTTCATTCGACCAGTAGTTGGTGCAGATGAAGAATTAGCTGTTGTTGATGCTTCCTCTACATTCTCTTCAGAAATAGTAGGCAGGCCACTGAAAGCAGTATTTGTAACCAATTTTTCCGCTTCAAATGAAGCTAAACCGTCTGTATTAGAATGTGTATATTTATCATAAAAGTATGTAAACACAAAAAATTAGAAAAATTAGCTATTTGAAACTTTTTTCCTACATATCAATGGCTTAAAATCAATTCCTAATTGGGAAAGGCAACGCGAAATTTGCAATGCTGCTGCTGATTAACATTCCAGAAACGAAGCGCTGACAGAAGAAAATTCTCCATGACACTATTTTGATGAGGCAATGAAAACCAAAGTTTACTAAGACATCGCAAATTCAATTCAAAATTTGACATATTGCGAGCCTAATTACTCTAATAAACCACAATATTTGATCAACCCCTCAAAATGATGTATTAACAGACTTTATCCACAAAATAGAACCTTAAACAACAGTGGTTTCAGCTAGTATAAATCAATGGGTCATTGCAATAAGCCTTCCTGACAACTCAGAAAGTGAGCCCCACCTTCCTTGTCAAAGTTACTGCTATCAATCAACCTTCTTAACCTTGATGGATGGTTAGAACTTGGATAATAGTGTAATAACGCCAATGAACAACTGCTCTGCTTCCACTAATCTACCTTCATATCTCGATTAGAAACGTTAAACTATGCCTATGTGCAGTTCGGATGAGGCAAAGTGTGAATTCTATGGGAAGCTGTTCAGATATAGTCAAGTTAGCAGATGAATTTACTGCTCAAGCAGGGAAGCTGAGCCAATCGAAAAGGCATCTTGGAAGTATTTACGAAATCCCATGCCAACAAACTAACAACGGTGATCATTTGTAGCGATTTTGTCCCGACAATCACTCGTTTCTGGCCAGAACTAGCTTTGTGCATAAGGAGAGACTTCAAACCAATGACGGACTCAGGTAGATTGCATTGCTGTAAGTCATCGTTGGAGGATTGCCACTGATAATGTCCTAGAACAGGCAGAACACTTTGAAACACAGTTCAGCTGCCCCACAGCAACACTTAGGTAGCCCAACATTTAGCCTGAATTTGAATCCAACTCTTCTTGAAGCTAAGTAGGCTGTGTCAAGTCTGAAACGATGCAAAGCAGGACATGACAGTTGGCCACCCGAAGTTTTCAGGGACGGAGATAGGAAATTGCTAATTAAAGTGACGGAGGTACTAGGCAGTGTACAGAAATTAGAGGTAGTTTATAAGGGAGAGAAGTTTTCTTGTGATAGCCAAAGGGGAATCAGTATTAAACGAGAACGGAACTTAATCAGTCACTTTACGTACATCCGTGCATTAGACAATGAGTCATACTTATTGTGTGACGGCCAGTGATACTACCTGACTGCCTAAACCTCGATAGGCGAAGCAGGGTACCAACTTGTGATTAACTGGTTGATAGTCACCTCCCCAAACCATCGGACCACAGTTTGACAAATATCGTGTCCGAAATCCTAGGGTTCATAGTTATCCCATGCCTTACTGAAGCTCAAGAAAACGAGGAAGGTTTCAGATCTAGGTGAGGGTGCATCGATTAAACCTCCACATTTCGTCAGGTTATGGGACGTAGGTATACTTACCGGTTAGTGGCCGACACTTGCTATATTTACTGACCTGAAAGTGGCATTCGACTCTATCAATCGATGGATGTTGTGGCAGTGTCTGTTTGTGAGGGGAGTACCGAGTAAGTATGTAGTGTTTATTAAAACACTCTGTTCGAACTCACGTCATCATGCAGGAGCTTACAGAGCTATCATCTGAATTGGCGACAACTAGTGGCGTCAGTTACGAATGCCTGTTATTACTGTTCCTATTCAGCTTCGTTATAGACGTTCTGAAATACATAACCCTATGTGCGTCTGACTTCACAGAGACTGATTTACTCCCTGGAGAGCACTTGGTTAACTCAGAGTATTCAGACGCTGACGAAATCCAGGGTCTTCTGGACAGGTTGAGCAAAGATTTGTTTATGTTTGGCATGCATTTCACTGTCATGTGTCAGATGTAGGATGATGCTCCAGGACCTATCGTCGTCCACTACTCCCAGTTTAACAACAGGTGGTGAATTGTTAAAATGTGTCCATCACTTCACTTACTTTGGGAGTTGCATCAGTTCGAACAGGTTAGTTGGTGACAAAGTCTCAGCTCGGATACATAAGGCTCGTTTGTTATGTGCCAACTTGCGTCATGTGGTGCGGACTGACGAGATATCCGACTATATCTATCTATCAAAGGACGAGTATACTGAGCTTCAGTCCACTTTGTCCTGTTATACAACTGAGACATGGCCGTTGAAAGTAGAAGATATGAAGCGATTACAGAGTTTCGATCATGTGCCTTCTCAGCATTGCTTGCATTTTGTGAAATCATTGTGTAAGCAATGTTGAGGTTAGGCGAAAGGTACTAACCAAGACAGACAAGTCGATTGTTGAGGTCCTGAACCTTTATTGACTGAGATGCCCTGGGCGTACACTGCGCATGCCACGTCACCGCCTACCCTGACATGCTATGCTCAAGGAAGTTGACTTGGTTTTGAAGAAGGTTCAGGATGGCTAGAACAACATGTGGCACAAGCTGATGAAGTCTGACTGTGATATTTGAGCCGTGATTGGAGATGTAGACTGCCTGTCTGAAGTCACAGAGACGATAGGAATCAGTGGTTGAGGACTCTAGGTGAAATATCTGAAATTCGGCCACAGTGGCGCAGATTTATACACTCCTTGACATCCTCTAAGGCTTGAATATTTGCACTAAACTTTATCTTCAGATTGCTTATTCTCTCACTCAACTTTGCCTACTTTGATATCACTCCTTTTCTAACCACTTCTTTTTTATGTACTACTGGTAAGTGTGGCAACTTGAACCAATGAACTTCCGTGTGAGGTTTCCCGTTGATTTTGCGTCTGTCTGTCTATCCATTCGAATAAGTCACCACAAATTTGCAAGAGAGAATTATTTTCATTACAAGACCGGTTGACAAAATAATGTGGAACCTTGCGAAGAAGTTCATTCGTTCATGTCGCTACACTTTACAACATGACGAATTGTTAGGAATTGGATTGTTCCTGAAATGACTGAAACTGTATGGGAGTTAAGATGAATAACAGACGGGCAAAGATTAATAAACTGTTCGAAATTTGTTGATGACTAAGAAAGGAGGAGGACAGTCTCCAAACATGGATTCTTATTACTTTTAGGATTTCAGGAACATATGCTGGTCTCACCAAGGAAACAGCCAAAAACATCACGGATCGAAGATATTTTTTGTTCTGATCGTTCTTAGCTTTTTTCCAGCCTAAGCCTACTTCAGTTGTCAGCATTCGTTGAAGTGAGCGATAACTCAGCAGACATATGTTTCAGCCATCTCAGTTGGTGAACGTTCACAGGCTCACCGAGTGACTTGTCCTCCTTACCTAGCATCCCACATCTAAGCTGAAAAAGCGTTTACTGTTTGTTTTGCATTCCCTATGCCTTAGTCAGGGGTCGCTGCACACCAATCCTGTTATATCATCCATTTGATAGGTGCAAAAAGTAAGCCAAAATATTCAGAATTTCCGTCCCTTTACTCAGTGTATCTCATAATTTGTCAGCATCTCTTATTAGAACTAAGTCTAACAGTCAAACTAACGATTTCTCGCAAACTCACCTGAATCAGTGCATAGTTAACAGAGTTAAGTAGAAACAATGAAAGTGGATATTCCCTAGAAAACTGCACTAACTGTCCTCATCCATGCGCTCGTAACAGATACAAAAGTTCAAGAAGAGAGTTTTGATTAGTATGAGGATTCCAGTTGCTTTTTAAGTGTCGGTTACCGGTATGTTGTGATAAAATGAAACTGGTTACATAACCATAAAGGACAATTGAGAACCAAACACGTTTTCGTTCTGATATATTAATACAATCAGTTTGTGATAGAAGTCAACTCTGATCCACCAGAATATTATCCAACTTCAAACAAACAGTTGGATTCGACAAATTGACAAAAGAGGCTTTTTGGTTAACTCGCCAAAACACAGTCTACTTAGCAGTTTAAACTTTCACCTTTCACAAATACTGACAATATTCCTCTATATCACAGCTTAAAGTATTCGATTACCTTGAGCCTTCAACACAAGCACCATTTCTACATAAAAAGTGGTGTTTGCTTGTGACAGAATACAGTATTAAAACCACTCTTTCGATGACACTGCAAAGAAGCAGTTATACATATCAATTAAAACTGAATAATCAATAATAGCTAACTAACCGAACTTGGAAATCAGATCAAGAGCAGGAAGCAATAAATTTCCTGGTGGATGAAAGGCTCGTAGGTTTATCAGAAGAGGTTGCACTGGCTAAAACAGTAACATAAATACTAACCGAATTAAATATGGGTACATCATAATACCTTATAAAAATCTAATGAATTACAAACATGCGAAGTATAATATTTTTCAATTCATATGAATTCTCTATAAGAAAAACGTCCTGTATCACATAAGTGAGCAGCTCTTGCACTAATGAATGAAGATGGACCTCTAAGACGTAGACTCTTTGGTATGTGCTCGGCAATCCGAGTAGACAACCGCCTCTCTGTTCTTCCTACTTACTGGTTACCAAAGGGATATTTTAGTTGATAAACACAGTTTGAGCTAACAATGAATGGAAAGTTGTTTAATTTGGATTGTTTAATTGCATATGTTGTTTGGTACAGTGAGGCAAGCCTCGCAGCCGGATAGGTTGTGAACACTGCACTTCCAATTTTCCTGTTGATTTTTGTTGTAACATCTCCCTTGAAAGCCAAAGTAAGAAACAATGATTTATTTTCAATAATGTTACATTCCTCTCTCTTCTCCTTGATTTTGCAGTACTTTTGCACGAACTTCACCGGATAATCGTTACAGTGTATAGATATTGTTAGACTAGTTGAACTTCTTGTACTTTATCTTGGGAGCATAACCTCTGCCCTCTGGTATAACATCTTCATTAAACCTCTCTAGTAGTTGATTGGGCAGAAGCTGTTGAAGTATAAATGATGACCGCTTCTCCTCACGTTCCGCCGTAAACTTAATACTAAAATGTGCACTGTTGAAATGTTGGAGCAGCTTCTTTACTTGCTGAATGTTTCCAAAGATAATAAAAAGTATCATCAACATATCTTGAATAAGATATTATTTGATCAACTGCAGATTTTAGGATAGTGTAAGACCAATCGAGATGTTTTATTCTTTCGGTTAAACGAAAGGGAAAATTCCTAGCTTCATATGACATATTTTCCCTGCCCACGAGTATACTTCTCCTTAAGACAACAAACATCATTTGCTAATACAAAGAAGATAACCAACTCCCACAAAAGAACATGAAGCGTCTCCTGCTTTTATGCACTGAAGATGTTCAGTTCCACTTCAACGCTACTATGTATAAACAAGTTGACGGTGCAGCTATAGCGGACATCATGTCACACTTGGATACCATGAATAATAACTGTTTTCAAATACCTGTAACCTTCGTAAATCCTCCAACTTTAGCGGCCATTCTTAAAAGTCATGTCGAAAGCCATAGTAAAAAACTGAGCACTATACTCAGTCACTAATAGATGCAAGAACATCTAACTACAGTCGCAAGTCGCATAGGTCCGTAACATCTAACAAATTAATTTCTCTAACAACCCAACCACCAGAGTTGATGCGACTTTTCTAATAAATGAAATGGTTAATGCCCCATAACCATCTCACTACTTAACTCAGCTAATCAGTCAGTCTTTAAATACCTTGGAAGAACACAACTAATATATATATATATATATATATATATATATATATATATATATATATATATTTACTTAATCGACAAAATAAAAAGCTGTAAGTCTGTCTTTAGTGTAGACTAAAATGAATTGAACAACTTCCAGAAGGCAGTAAAAATGGGAAAGAACTTAAAGTTTATATTTTGTTACATCAGAAAATTTACGCACACTTTTCAACAAGGCTTCAGTTAATATGTCATCAAAGACTACAAACCGACTTGGAGACTAACTTTGTCGATTCAAAGTTCTTACTGATATGAATACACAAAGTTATTCAATCTACCAAATATCATGTAACGGTTGCGCGAGCAAATATACATTAGTTGAATCAGATAATCAGGGTCAGCTAGACTATCAGTCCATAGGAGGCGTAACCTAATTTAGAATGCTAAACCCTAAAAACATCAGCTACTGAAATGTATCCACTGACACATACAACTGGTTGGGACAAAATAGCTGTAGTAAAGGCCGATATAGTTACGTAGATAAAACGGTTGATCATTTAATCCTTTTTCATCGAATGAACACTTAAAACATAACTGCAATGACGCAACATCTATTTCGGAGATGTAAAGTCCTCTACTACCAATGAAAACAAAGAGTACGAGCTAATAGAACTATGAAAACCAGATTTCTGAAGTTATCTGATTACTCTGAACCTATTATGAGCAATAACCTATGATCAAATTGTCACCCAGTGCGTAATACTCTACTACAGTGCACCAGATCGAATAAATCTAATACAGAATTTTAATATTTCCATTGAGTCATAAAAAAGAAAGACTATGGAGAGCAAATTTGTTTTCGGTGATATCACTCTCGGATGCTTTACAACTGCATTTTAACTAATTAATTAGTTTGCATATGAAATGGTAAAAAAGTGCCAATATTTGTAAATCAATAATTCAAAACGCAAAATACAATAACAGTTGTTTCGATTTAAGGAAGATGAATACGAAACGCGATTTTAAACGCATGATTGGGATTGGGGCTTCTACTTCCATATCGCTCGAATAAAGTCGAAGTCAAGACATATTCAGCAACTTTATGCACATTCCTAGAGTAGGCGATGAGCCACACCCGTTTTGTGAGGGCAAGTGATACTACCTGGCTGCTAAAGCCTCGGTAGGTGAAGTGGGGCTCGAACTGGTGATCCACCTCCACTGGGGGCAGGTGAACTGAACCAGCCCACAGTGGTAGCTTGTCATTCGCACAGGAGTTCACCACTGAGCGGCTAGTATAAGTGATGCGCAGAGTTGCGAAACAGAATTTTCTCTTGACTGATCTCATCAGTCGGTGTTTCAGAATTTTATGTCCTGTATCACTATTGAGTTCGAAGTTCAAAAGTGGTTACATCTTATCTGCTATACTGTATTTTTCAGGGACAATTTTTGATACATATTTTTACCGAATAAATTTTATAGGTATCTACTTTTCATGAATACAGACCTCAGAAATTTTAGTTCTTCTAGTGTTTCAGATGTGCGAATTCTCTAGACTCGAGTCGAATGGATTAAATGTAGTTCCCAAATGATAGGAATCTAGCTGTGAAAATTGATCGATCATCCATTCTATGTAGATTTTCGATAAATGGATCTTTTAAGAGATTTATTCTTTCTGCTTGTGAGTAATACACCAGAAAATGGTATATTTGAAAGCGATTCCATTCTCATCAAAAAGGTGACTGAAGAATGACACTGACTGGAAGCATATAACATAGTCTGTAAATCTAAATCCTCATCACAGACGACGGAAGCGCCAACGTATCTTCTGTAGGACTTACAGTTTGATGACTGAGTTTTCAACTGTTCCCAATCAGAATATGAAGGTAACTGCAAAAAGAGGGTCCAATCAAGACCGTATTGAGACTCCATCCTTTTGGCAGTAAAGTTTGTTTTTGTGGCTGAATTCCACACCAAAAGTACATCTTAATAATATATATATCCCGATATTGATAGTCCTTAATTCAATGAAGTCATATACAAAACTAGACGTTTGCAAATAATGGATTGCCACTAAATGATAGCATAATGTTGCCATTGGCATTCATGGGATCGATAGACTAGAATGTATCATGTAAGAAATTTTTCTCCTATTGGTTCCAATAGTTGACCCAACCATTTGGCAATGGGATGATAAGTTGAGTAAGACATGTCTAGGATAGGATGTAATGGAAAGTCTGGTTTATTAGTTTCAGGTAGTCTGTTAAATGTAAACACCAAAAAAAATTATTCAAATGCAACTGCTCGAAATACATTTAGTCCACGGCCAATAACTTCCGGGTCATTGCTAATATCTAGCAAGAATGCATTTAATGTTGATTTCCTTTAAGTACACTATGGTAAATGATTGAATAATCAAGATGTGTTGAGTATATGTTATCGCCTCTTTGCTCAGTATAATTTAACTGGTGTGTGAATTTTCCCATAAAACCCTTTTGTTGTAGACGTTTATATAAACTTGCGGGAGCTCATAATCAGTCAAGGTGGATCGGCATCCTTTTCCGTAACTGACGATGAAGACCTGAAATACTTTTTCTTCGTCGCGGTGGACCATTTGAAATTTTCTGAAAATTAACTTGAACTTCTGGGTCTCAACGGCACCTATAAGACCAATAACGAGAACCTTTTTCTCTACGGGTTCATAGCCACCGACATCAACTTCATGGCTATCCCCATAGCTTTTGATTTCATAAGCAGTGAGACAGCAGAACTTATTGATGCATTTCTGAGATTTTTAGAAATGTTATTGAAAACGGTAAAGCGAGTGCTTTCACAAAAAATGATTGTCCAGAATCGTGTCTGCATTATGCCAGGTTTTTGCTCACTCACATCGCCTCTTGTGTCGTGTGCATATCATTCGCAATGTGATCAAGAGGGTAGGCCTGTGTACCAAACTACCTAGAAAATTTTATTATTTGCAGAAATTACAACCAGAGATGCTGCAGTACTTCTTTCGGATGCTGTAAACAAAGAATATGGAGAGGTTAGTGAATGCACCACATTTTTTTTCTATGGATAGGAGACTAATAACTCCATTTGAAACAATTTCGCAGCCACCTAGTATAACATTTACTCTTCCAGGAAATAACTTGAACTTTGACCTAGATGCCAACGTCGACGACCAAAAGGGGGCAATGAAGTTGGTCACTTGGAACTCTAGGGAGATGAATCATGTGGATATAAACGAAGAGGAGGATTATGTCTACAGAGGAGTTTGTGAGGTATGCTTCCAAACTGATATATCAACCTCTATTCCATATGCCAGCACATGGGTAGGATGCCGTTGTCGTGCTACATTCTATATATTCTGCTAATGGAATCCACACCCAAGGAGCTTTTGTCTCGAGTGTCTTGTATGTGGGGATAACCCCTGGCAGGAAGGTAATGCAACTGAGAATTAGAGGGACTTTCGCTGAAACAGGTAATTTGCATCTTTATCTCCCAGAACTGTGCCCATTTCACTTTCACATTTCAGATGAAGACAAACTGTACCAGAAGTGAATTTCTACTTCAGGACGGGAAGCGAACGAACAAAGGCCCATCTTAG